AGGGAGAATTTTTAATATTTATTTTTTAGTTCTCGGCGGACACAACATCTTTGTTTGTATGTGGTGCTGAGGATCGAACCCGGGCCGTACGCATGCCAGGCGAGCGCGCTACCGCTTGAGCCACATCCCCAGCCCCACACCCGACTATATTTTTCTTATTTTATTTTTTTACATCCGTAAGTCAGAACCTCTCCAGAATTAAATATATGTATATATACATATAAGTTTAATGTCTTAAATTTAAAATATCTTGCAAACATTGTTTAAATTAAGCCACGTTTAAAAAACAATTCCTCTTACCCCCAACCTCTCCAACCCTGCACCTAAACATATATCATGTGCCAAACACTGTGCTTAATACAGCACTCATGTGATCCCATTTAATCCTCACCACCCTCTGAGGTATACCATTAGTAACCCTATTTTCCAGCTTGGGAATTTGAAGTCCACAAAATGGGCAAAATGTATACATAAGTCATACACATAAGAGCAACAGAGTTGACAATGGAATCCAGACTGCACCTCTGAAGCCATTCTTTTCACCATGATCAACTACMAGCACTGGGTCTCTGAGCCTTAACCATCTTACAAGTCTATACTCGTTTCGATATCAAAAGCAACATTTAAGCCGTGTGTGGTGGTGCACGCCTGTAATCCCAGCAGCTCAGAGGCTAAGACAGGAGGACTGAGAGTTCAAAGCCAGTCTTAGCAACTCAGCAAGGCACTTAGCAACTCATCGAGACCCTGTCTCTAATAAAATATGAAAAAAAGGGCTGGGGATGTTGCTCAATGGTTAATTAAGCACCTTGGGTTCAATCCCCAGTACCAAAAAAAAAAAGCAACATTTATTAAACCAAAGCTATGACAAAAAAGTTCTACTCTGAATCTATTAAGTCAGTAAGTCACTGAAATTTTACTGAACCAAATATACCATTAACTGTTACAAGGGACATAAGGCAAAAGATACAGTAGTTGCCCTCAAGAAGCCTAAGGTGGAAATGAGCAGATAAAGAAGCATGACTTTAATATCCAAAGAGGTGAATGAAAATGGTATGAGAACAAGTTAAAATGCTGAGTGCCCAAGGGACTGAGTTGCAACGGACAAAGGACAAATCATGCGAGATCCCACCTCTGGGGGCTTCCCTAGCCAGATGGCCATAGGCAGCAAAGGCTGAGATGGGCTGAAGCCTGAAATGGTAGCTGGTGAAGGGCTGTCAAACAGGAAAATGACAAAGTGGCCTGAGTACCCTGCTGGTCTGCCAAAACCGCAGCCTGAAGCCCATGCTGCTGAGGCCATTTCTTTTTATGAGAACAAATTTTACGTTCTTGTATCAACTGAGACCCTCCCAACACATGCTACCCCTTATCACCAGAAAGAGCCTAACACAGGGACAACAGCAAAGGAACCAAGACAGGACGATTCCTCTGGAAGTTTCCTTAGCCACGAGATAACAGGCATGTGAGATCAAGAAGGAAGGGAGAGCAGCCTAAAGGTTGGGCGGGCACAAAACCAAGGATGGCACCAAGGACCAATTGTGAAAGGTGAGGCCAGACTCTAGAGGAAGCAGATGACATGCACCCCAGGGGCTAGACAACTTGGCTTTAATACATTAGAAAAAAGAAGGCCATGATGAGTTAGAGTGACAGAACAAATATGGTGACAAAGGAGGAACACACTCTGTACCCCATAAAACCAGGATTAAAAGTGGGGGGGGCTAGCAGTAACAAGCCTTACATAGTACACGGCAGGGGGCCTCCACTTTTGCTTTATGAGACCATGGACTGCTACAGCAATCCAAGCAAAAAGTGTCCAAACTGGAGTAGACACTATAGAGATGAAAAGATATCGAATATACAAAACCTGCTGGCACTTCAAATTTCAGCAAATATTCAACCTACCTCAAAGAAACAGGCATGGTGGCCAATGCCTGTAATCCCAGTGACTCAGGAGGCTGTGGCAAGAGGATTGTAAATTCAGGGCCAGCCCAGAAAACTTAACAAGACCCTGTCTCAAAATAAAATTTAAAAAGGGCTGCAGATGTAACTAAGTGGTAGGGCATTTGCCTACCATGTGGGGCTCTGGGTTCAATCCCCAGAACAGTAAAAAAACCACAAAACCAGAGTTAGCACAGTGGTGAATGCCGGTAATCCCAGCGGCTCAGAAGGCTGAGGCAGGAGGATTACAAGTTCAAAGCCAGCCTCAGCAAAAGCGAGGCACTAAGCAACTCAGGGAGACCCCATCTTTAAATAAAAATACAAATTAGGGCTGGGGATGTTGCTCAGTAGTTAAGTGTCCCTGAGTTCAATCTCCAGTTAAAAAAAAAAATAATCTTATAATCTCCATTTTATAAATGAGGAAATTAGGATTAAGAGTCAGTGAGTTTAGCTCAGCTCGATTTACAAATGAGGAAGTTGACATTTGAACCAAGATAAGTCTGAATCTAATTTTTTTGCTCAAAATAAGTGACTAACTTTTTTGTATTAGTTCCAATTAATTGTTGAATAAGCCATCTTTGACAACCTAGTAGGTGCAAGGCTGATATTAAAAAATGGGAGTTCATAATCTGCTTGAATCAAATGTATGAAATATGATATGTCAAGAGCTTTGTAATGTTTTGAACAACTAATAATAAAAAAATAAATAAATAAATAAATAAATAATCAAACAAGCCCCACTAAGGAACAGAAATATGCTGCTTTCCCAAAGTATGCATGAAAACAACTTCAAAGGGCACCTTTTCTAATTAAACATCAATTCCTACCTGCCTCCCATGAGAACCATTGTATTCACAAATAACAAATTACTAACATTCCTAAGTCCAGACTCACCTCATATTTTAACTTTTATGAAACTAGAATATTCAATTGTTTATAATAATATACAAATTTATTGTGATAAGGCTTGGGGTTTTTTTTCTCCAACAGATATTTTTAAAATAATTACATGTTTTATTACGTGTGTTCTTTAACAAAAGAAATATGGTAATACTAATATTGAATATACTTATAAGAAAAATGGAATTAGCAGTGAAAATGTCAAGAGAGTTAATTAAAATGTATTTTTTTAAATGACCATTTTTTTTTCACTTCTAGGTAATAAATGGGTAGCCTAGAATTTCCAGAAAGAATGCCACTGGGCTTCTGAAATGGTAATTTGCTTGGTGAGATTTTTCTTCTGATGAATCCCATGAGTAAAGCTAAAGCTGAAATGTTCTCATTCCACAYTCAAAACCTATTTCCACAGTGGTGTCAGATGGATCATTGTCTCCACTTCAATTAGTTCACTATTCCTCCTACATTAGAGGGCCTTCCTCCCAAGGTATACCCAGTTCACATTTCAAGCTAATACTTACTAAAACTAAAACACAAAGGAACTTTAAGACATCCTACTATAGCTGGGCACAATGTCACAGGCCTGTAATCCCAGTGACTAAAGAGGCTGAGGCAGGAAGATCTCAAGTTCAAAGCAAGGCTCGGCAATTTGGAGAGGCCCTAAGCAACTTAGCAAGACCATGTCTCAAAATAAAAAATAAAAAGGGCTGGGGATGTTGCTCAGTGGTTAAGGGTCTTTGGGCTCAATCTCTGGTACAAAAAAAAAAGAAGACAACCTACTATAAAAAATGCAATATGTAAAAATAATGCAATAAGTCAAACATATCTTCACTTGAAAAATATACTTACTTGTGTTTGAGAACAAATTTTACATTCTTGTATGCAAAGGCTACCAAGTAAGTGCTTACTAGGGTCATCACACTATACAGAACAGCAGACTGAATAAGATCCATATGCCATATTCGCCAATATAACCCTGAAGCAAGACAAAGGGGGGAGAGAGAAAAAAAGAGAACAAGACATTACTACCCCAGTTACAAAGGCTAAAATTCATTACAACAGTCGGAGTTAGGAAGTCCAATATAGTATATGATAATCTTTGGAAATGAGATACTGGAAGAGTTAGTAATCAGTTCAGAACTTCCCGGGTTCCACTAAGACTTCAAAATTGAGTGCAGCAGGGTCCCATGAGCTGCGTTCAGGCCATCTCACGACGGCCCGGTGTACTTGCTGACGTGGCTTTATCTGAGACCTAAGCGGGACTCCTTCGGGCCAGCGGGTCACTGCACAGTGAAAGTACAGGCCAGGTTCCCTCGGAGCTGATTGTCAACAACAGTGCARCAGTGCAGGAGCAGCAAACTCCGGACCCCGATGTCTGCAGACGCTCTTGACGGGGCCGCTGTCCCCATCCCTGGGTTCCAAGACAAGCTGCGYAAGGCGGCCGCCGCCCCCCGGCCCTGGTCTAACCCTAACCCTGCACATCTGGGGAAGGAGGGTGCCCTTCTGGCCGGGTGGGCGCTACCCGGCGGGCCCACCCAGCTCGCCAGTCCCTGGAGCCTCGCACCCACACAGCTCCTGGCGGCAAGGGGCGGCGTGTGCAGGAGCAGCAGACGCGCGCTGCCGCGCTGGCACCCGCCACCACCCCAAAGGCCCGCCCGGCAAGGACCCTCTGCCCCCGGGGCGCCCGACGCGAGGCCCAGCTCGGAGGCCACGCGCCTCCGGGAACAAGCTGGGCGCGGCGCCCGCCCTCACCGACCCGGGCCCGCCACGTCCCCGCCACGTCCCCGCCCCCCGCGGCGCTCACAGATGGGGATGGCGGACACGATGAAAGCGTTCCCGAAAAAGAGCGCGGACGACTTGGCCGAGAGGTTGCGGCTGAAATCCTGCAGAAGCAGGTCCTCCTCTGACTGCTGCTTGGAGCCACCTTTGGGCGCCATGGCGGAGCTGGTCCAAAAGCGAAGGCGGCGGGCTAGCCGCGGAGACCTCCCCGCCCGCCCGGGCCCGTCAGCGACCCGTCAGCGCGGCATGGAGGCGGGCCAGCGTGCAGCGCGCCCCGGGATTGGCCAGCCGCGGCGGAGGCCCCAGGTCTAATTGGCCAGCGCGAGAGACTTCCGGGTTTCTGGCCGCCACGTGTCGACACGTCATGGGGAGGAAGGGGTTTGTAGTTGTCATGGGTACCTTTTTTTTAATCAAAAAACTTTATTGACACCCCAGCTCCTGACAGGAGCCTTTCCAGTCTCCAAAATTGCACAGTTCAAGGTTCTCCCGGCCCCGGGCCTTACATTCGTTATTTCAGCCAGCACTTGGCCAGTGCGCCCGCGCAGCGCAGCCTGCACGTGTCCACCTTGGGTGCCGCCTTCGCGAGGCCTGCATCAAGCTCCCCGCTGCCCCGCTTTTTCCCAGCGCAACTGACGCCTTTGCAGCAAAGAAATAAACAGCTCAGGTGCAGGGAGCCTCTGGAAGGAGGAGGGCACTCACCACGCAGGCAGTGCCTGACACCTGTCCCATACGCTTCCTATGTTATTACATTTATTTCTGCTAAACCTGCGAGGTAGTGGCCTCCAAAGCCACGCTAAATAAAACACTAAGCACGCGGGCTGGGCAGGGAGCTCAGAACTCCTGGATGTGCCCACCAAGGCAGCTGAACTCATCGAGTTATCATTTTTCATCAAAAAAACAAAACAAAAACCCGCAAACGCATCCCTCTCGGCAAATGCCTTTGTTCTGCATTCGTGAGAACACCCCAGTACACCCAGGCAAAATTCCCTCATTCACTAGCTTCCTTATCAACAGTTTTGGAGATACCTTTCTCCCTCACCTTATCCAAATTGTAATCGACCTGCTTAGCCTCCATCCTAATTGAGCTTTCTGTCCTCATTCTTTTCCAATCTTTTCTCTACATAGGTACCCAATGAGTTTTTCTCCATTATCTGCAGTAGAAATTGCCAAATGCCAGAAGTTCACTATTTCTCCACAAAATGAAAAAAGAAAAAATAGACAATCTTGTTAATGTGTATTTTCAGAAAACTCAGAGTATTAATTTTAAAATATCTTGAGTTTGACGGGCGCTGTGGAGCATACACGCCTACTAACCCCAGCAACTCCAGAGGCTGATGCAGGAGAATTGGGAGTTCAAAACTAGCCTCAGCAACTTAGTGAGAGGCTGTCTCAAAATAAAAATAAATAAATGAAAAGGGCTGAGGATGTTGCTCAGTGGTTACGCGCCCCTGGGTTCAATCCACAGTTAAAAAAAAGAAAAGAAAAAAAAGCAGCTGAGAAAATTTAATGCACTTTATTAAACTGAAGAGTAAGTATAAGCAAAATAATCTAAAATAGTAGGAATTTTAATATTTTTTTCACAGGTAAATTAGAGGAACATGATAGGCAATGCTGCTTATGCCAGGGAAGGGTTTTGGTGGCAGTGGAAATGAAGATCATGAAGGTAAGACACTTGAGGTACTAGATCACTGTTTTCCAGCTGTTTTTGAAGAGTGGCAAGATCTAAAAACAAGACACATACTGCCACTGGACAAACAGGGTTAATAATGTGCTAAATAACAGGAGGGGGTGCGTAACAGATTCTACCTAAACACAGATCTGCAGTAGGTTTTGCTCCTTTCAGTATAACTCAACTCCATGAAGGAGCCAGATAGACTTGATTCTATAGGAGCCTGATTCTAACCTGTGAATTTCAGGCTTCACATTGTGTTATATCACTTTRCGCTCATCAAATTGTGGTGAGGACATCTAAGCAATAATACTAATTGCTGTCAGGAATATGGATATCAGATTCCTCCCATCCATTGCTTATGTCTCTGTGGAAGAAAGTCTGGTAAGTTAATAACATGTTTTTCTATGGCAGGCACTGCAAGTCACATAGCAGGTAAAGAAGCCACTGCTGTGCTGGGATTGTGGCTCCGCGGTAGAGCACTCACCTAGCAGTGCAAGGCACTGGATTCAGTCCTCAGCACCATGTAAAAATAAATGAATAAAATAAGGATATTTTGTCCAACTACAACTAAAAATATATTTTAAAAAAAGAAGAAGAAGTCATAGCCACTTTTTTACTGAGATCTTAATTTTTAAAAAATAACAAATAGATCATCTAGGGTTACACTGGGAAGGGTGTGGCAGCTCCTGTTTTAAAGCCTATTTGAAATGCAAATCTCATTATGGAAATAATTTTTGAAAGAAAAGGTGGAAGACTTGGATTAGTCTCTAGGTATAATGTTTTCAGTTATCACCTGAGAGATGATTTACTCAGCCAAACTACACTTTTCAGGCACTGGTGTGTGATTAATTTATTCATTCATGTATTCATTTAGCAAATATTTATTGAGAAGCTATTACATGACAGTTACTATGCTAGACCCTCACATGTAACCAAATATGATTATAACTAACACTCACTGAGTCTTTGTTGTATGTCCCTAGCTTCCTTGCATGTGTGGTCTGATTGAGTTCTTACAGCAATCTTAGGAAGCTTCCCACCCTTATCTGCATTTATCAGATAAAGAAGAAACTAAGATAGGTTAATAGCTAAAGGCATTCTGGTCTCCTTTATAACAGTGGAGTTTGGTAGCACCTCCCCACAAAGGCCCCATTTTGAGCAAGCAGCAGGGACAGTTTCTGGTGTACACAGTTCCCACACAGTCATGCCATCTGTAGCCCCAGCCAACACATCCCTGGGCAAAGAGGATCCCCCAAGGCAAGCTTCAGTAAGCAGGCCTGGGCTCTTCAGACTGGATTCTCTGTGTGTCAGAGATTTTGAATGTCAAACCACAGAAAGAGACAGTTGGTAGAGACACACAGAAACAGGAAAGCAAACTGGGAAGAGGTGTAAAGCAAAAACTGTAACTCCCCGTGCTACGTGGAAAGGAGAAAATTAGATTCCCAAAAGACCTCGGGGCTTTCTTACCCATTTTAGGCTTAAGAGAGACCCCCATCGCCTGCAATAAGGCAAAACACTCAGCTCAAAAAGGGAAAGAGATTTTTTTTATATATGTTTTTTAGTTGTACATGGATGAAGTGTCTTTATTTTGTTAATTTGCTTTCTGTGGTGCTGAGGATGGAATCCAAAGCCTCATATGTGGGAGGCAAGTGTTTTACCGCTGAGCCACACCCCTGAGCCACACCCTTGAGTCACACCCCAGCCACCGGGAAAGAGACTTTAAATATCTTAAAATAAATAATTACAACATGAGTATTTTTTACAAATTACACTTGGGTGCCTTATGAAGCTACCCTTGCCATGTACAGTGCCCACCAACCTCCTTGGAAATCCTCCTAGGGGCCACATGGGCAGGAGGATGGGAACAGCAAAGAAGCCAGAAAAGGGACAGGAAAGCCACCTTGGATGAGAGTCAGCTGGTGCCCAGATCCAGTGTTTGTGGGAGAAGCCAAGGAGGAAGGAAGCCGAAGTTGTAAACATTATAAGCCGTTTTTATACTTAACTTATTTAATATGTGACTTTAAAAATAAGCAAAATAACACAAATAGGTTTTACCTACAAAAAATATATAGATAAATGGGTTCAACATAATTTATCAATTATATATTGCAGCCCTGCCCCTCCCCACCACCACCACTGAACAATTATGGCAAGGTAAAAAAAAAAAAAAAAAAAATTAAATGCCTACCAGAACCAGATAAGTAAGCTCAGGGAGGGAATTGTGGCAGACAACAGGACATGAGATAATGGTGGGGTCAACACAGCAAAAAGTCTCGCAGTCCAGAAGACACTCAAAAGATAGAGATTAAATGGACAAATAGCATCAGGAACAAACATTGTATAGACCAAACATGATAGGTTTGGGGTTTAATCTGCTTCCTAAACTACAAGGTTAAAGGATATTTAAATATGTATAGAAAACAAATTAAGATGTAATGAAAAAAGCCTTACCATTTTATGTTTTTTTAATTATTTATTTATTCTAATTTATTCTAATACATGACAGCAGAATGCATTTTGATCCATTGTACACAATTGCAGTACAGCTTTTAATTTCTCTGGTTGTACACAATACAGTGTCGCACCATATGTGCAGTCATACAGGTACCTAGGGTAAGGATGTCCATCTTTCCTGACTGCCCCCTCCTCTTCCCTCCCCTCCCCTCCCCCACTTTGCCCAATCAAAGAAAAGCCTTACCATTTCAGAAAGAAACATGCCCTTGTGCAGAGAATGCTGGGGAATGTTAGCCTTTGGCCTGGGTCAGCGCCCTCCTGCACCCACCCACCTACTCAGCACCCCACGCATTTTTTTAAATAAAGACAAGGGCTTGAGAACTCTAAATGTGCACTTTACTGTGAAGCTGAATTTTAAACCAAGCGAGGCGTTAAAACATTTGGTAGACAAGCATTTGTCTGTGAGCTTGAAGCTTTTTCACTCCAAGATTAATACTGTTTGCCTTTTTAGGAAATATTCACATGACCAATATAAACTGGTAACTGCTTCTGAGGCCGTCAGAAAAGCCTGTCTCCTGTGTGCCGAAGGACATTTGTAAAGTCACTGACTTCTTTAAGAAAATGATACATATCTGCAGAAAATATATCATCTTAATAACCCTGATAGAGCCCATAATACTTTAACGCTCAAAGCTCCCCCTGGAATTTTCTAGATGTGACAGTTATCCCCCATGCCTCATCCTGCAGCCTTGCGGGGCACAATAGGAAATTACGATTCACACTGGAAATCAATTTTCTTTTGTTACACACTTAACCCGAGCACTATGGCAACAGAACGTGAGATAAAGTAGGTCACCCATTTCAGCTGGAATGGCTTGGAGACACAGAAGCCAGTTGTCATTTGGCACTCATCTTTTAGAAACCTTTAACTAAAAATGCTTCCCTTTCCCACGCCCCAGTCAATGCTATTTCATAATAACAAAGTGGATAAAGATCAAGAGAACAAATTCTTGAGTGAAATTTATTCAATCTCAGTATTTATTTCCGTTGGTTTACTAATTGACTAGCAGTATCTGTTCCCAAACTCACAAATGCAGAAAGAGTTCTAG